GTTCTTCTCGAACGCAGTAACCGCGCTAGCAGAATGGCTTGGAGACATTGGTCTTCTTCTGAACAAGAAGACCCAAGTAATGTTCTTGAAGCCTCGGCAACAAGATCCAGTCGATCGCGTCTGCTGCAATGGAGATGAGCTTGCCACAGTGTCATCCGCAAAATATCTTGGCGTCATTTTCGACAACGACCTGAACTGGCGGTCCCACATCCAACACTTTGCCAGCCAGACAGGGAAGGCCGTAAGTCGTCTATGGCGACATGGGGATGCACTTAGCATCACGGCCCGCCGGATATGGTATGTTGCCATGATACAAGCCAAGCTGTGCTCCGCCGCAAACGCCTTCTTCCCCTCGCTGTCTGCTGCTGGTTTAACCGGCTCGAAAGATCGGCGAAGTCCAGGGTTCGAGCAATCCTACGACTGCAGAACCCGATCGCGACTCAGCCGCTACGAGAGAGACTCTCATTGTCCACCATTGAGAGATTGTTTCAGCGAAAGCTCCTCATGTTTGTATTCCGTTGCCTGCACTCTCTGTCAAGTCACTTGTTCTCGAGACGCGCTAGCACTACATTGCACTGCAAGTGTCACGGCAGAGTAGACAGGGACCCATAACCGCTGGCTATAAACTTATATAAAACCGTCAATTTCGTATGGGTTCAAACAGGGACATGAACAAGGGTTCCCTATATCACGAAATTTGCTATTATGTGAGTTCGCTGCGAGTGGAGTCGACTGTACTGTGTTCATGTAATTGTATGTGTGCATAGTATGGTGTTTATTATGAGTGGTATTATCTGCATTTTTGGGGTCGTTTCTGGGAATGGGTGTGTGGGACAAGAAAGAAACACCTGTTACATGTCTCTAAGTTAATACATGTATTTAGGGACTTCCCCTAATGGCTAATGGTTGTTTGGGAGGAGGTCACAGGACACGAGTCACACGACCTCAACGCACTGTACTGCAAGTACAAGCACTGAATGGATGACTTGCACAAAGATCCGAGCCGCGAGTGAGACGGGGCAAGTGCACCCTGTTATGTACCCTGTGCACCCAGGCTACACTGCGGGCACCCTACACCGTCTTTAGTGTACTTTTTTGTCAGCATGAATGAACGGTGCACGGCATTTTTTTATTTTTATTTTTTTTTATTGGGAACACAGCCCTACAAAGAGACATGTGGAGACAGACACAAGACAAGACACAGGGGATGTAGGGACGACGTGCCGATGTACAGGGAGCAACTCGACCGACCAGGGGTCTCGGCGTTAGCGTTGCAACCTGGCATCGAAAAAAAAGGGGGGGGTTGCATGGTCAGGTAGCAAAAATAATAATTTGGTGCGAGAAAGGGGCGCTAGTATTGCACCAAATAATATAAATTAATACGTGTAATGACTAAACCAGAAGGGAAAATGAAGAAAGAGGACAATAATCATAACAAGCAAGTAGTAGTAGAGAGGTAAATACTAAATGGGTCTCAAATCTCAATATCATCGTCACAGGTACTGTGTGGACCACAGCCATCTCTTTCGGATTAGATCCTTACATACGTTGACCTTGAAGGTTTGGAGGCGTCTTGAATGAGGCTCGTGAAGCAGGAGGTCCGCAGGCAGGTTGTTCCAGGGTGTGATGGCGAAGAAGGGGAAGGATCGCAGGAGGTAGTCAGGGGCTGTGCGAGGGGGTGTCCACTTCAGCTGAAAGGCATGGTGCATCTGACGTGTTTGCCGTGTGCACATGCTAGCTACGGCAGGGGGCTTGGTTGGTGGCAGCATGGCCTTTACCTGGGGAGGCCCTGGAATGTAGTGCAGCTTGAACAAGTATGACAGGGCTGCCACCATCCGACGAAGCTGAAGACTTTGGAGGATGGTTCCAGGTCCCAGGAAATGCAGGGCACGTTGCTGAACCTTGTCCAGCTGGGCCATGTTAGTTGCGGCTGCGCTCGACCAGGCCAGTGGGGCATATTCAAGTAGGGGTCGCACGAATCCCTTGTAGACCGTCACTCGACCATGGTCGTCCAGGATGGGTGCTGCCTTTCGTAGGAAACCCAGCCTTTGGGAGGCGCGCAGTGCAACACTGCGAGTGTGCGCTCTGTAGGAGAGAGTAGGGTCGAGCATGACTCCCAGCAGCTTCAGGGTATCTGTCTCCTGGAGTGCTTCACCTCCAAAGGTGACTGGTGGAGTGCAGGGGGGAACGTGCTTGCGATGTAGAGTCATGCGCTGTGTCTTGGCTGGCTCAAAACAGATACGCCACTTGCGGCCCCACTCCTCAAGACTGTTGACATGTACATGATGTACATGTACATGATCAGTACCGTCACTGTCTTCAGAAGCTCATGAGTCATGTGCACTTGTGTAAGTTGTAGGGTTAGTGGAAGTACATGATTGTATATTATGTGAAGAGAAGCCAGGCGTCCAAACCAACCCGAAATACTCTTGCCATATTCTTCGGTGAAATAGTTATAAAAAAATTGTCTTACTAAACAACAGTGAGCATAGAAGCAACCTCGATGCACCCAATAATTTGGCATCCGGGAACAGCAAGTGTTGCACGAGGATCCCAAGAACACGTCAAGTTCCATGCTACCTACCGCCATCAAAAGAACGAAGGATAACTGTGCTAGCCTAGTTCATATTCAATGTAACGCTATCGGTACGGGATATAGGAGCCTGTTGGGAAGGCGTGGGTGAGCTGTAAAATCTTGTACGGTTCGCACAGCACAACATACATGCAGCAGTTATTGCGACGGTTAACGTCGATGGACGAGAGTCATAAAGCGAAATTTTATTTCTTCTCTAATAAAGCAGAATCATGCTGATTATACCAGTCTGTTATGAAGACAAGAAAGCAGCCATGGACATTGTGCCACACTAAAGGAACGACAGGTAAAAGATAAAGCACTTCATCTGAAAACTCAAGGACTATCCATAAATACAGCAAATGATAATCCTAGCCTGGTAATGTCCAACTCCGTCATGTGAGCCATTCGGTGAGTTATCATGGGAAGCATAATGTTCGAAATGCTGAAATATGAACAGTTGCAGTTGTGTTCGTCGCCACACAATGCCATCGCCAGTTCACATTCGAAATGTAGCCATTTTTACGCTTGTGTCCCTGTACACGGCATGGAAGGCTGAACAGATTCAACTCTTCCATCGCTTCCTGATCTGTACAGTAGTGCGGTTGCGTTCCCGTTCCTGACACTCACATCCGTCTCCGCTAACCACCATCATGAGAGCTCCAATGGTTCCCGCCGCTCCTTCCGTATCGTCCCAGCGCGCCCCGTCAAGATGTGAATTACTGAAGGCAACGGAGCCAGTGTATGATGAAGGCGAATGCACTGTTTGATGATGCTCCAACAAATCCTTTCACCGTTGTATGGAATTTGTAAGAAGAGTAGTGGCTCAACTGTAGGTCCAACGCACAAGGTACCTCACAGCGCAGTTCTGTTACGTCCACAATAATGAACATACTCAGCAGACTGTGATGTGTATCAGACACACTCTGGCATTATTTGTTCCACATTCTCCCAGGAGATAAAATGTAGTTCAATCATGTCTTCAGTACATGGGTACCGTTGCCTCTAACTAAGCATGTATGCAAGTTACTTTCCCATGAGACCCAGCCGGAGCCGCATCGTCATCATTACCAGCTAATCATGAAGAGGTATAATGTGACTTTCCACCACTCCCTGATTCAATCATAGTTTGCGAGCCTGCGACAAACTGCTTTCTCACTAGAGCCAGCCATCGGATACATAAGGTTTACAATGCTATGTCTCTGGCCTAAATCCAAGTCTAGATACAGCTGCTCAGAGTCAGGCCTGATGAAATGTTCATATCGGAACAAGTGAGACTTCAACAGTAGCTAGTACACATCAGGCCTGAGGACTTCGCAGCGTTTCTCCAACACACTTGTTCTCTCCTTCAACTCAGATACTACTTGAAGTACTACTAAAGCCTAGTAAAGGCCATCTGGCTCTCATACTCAGTCCTTCCACCCTTCATTTTCGTGGTTTAGGCTTCCACTCGTGACTCGGCAGGTTCCTGGCCTCTCCGCAGTCTGTCCTCAGGAGAGGGTCGCTCTGGAGCTAGTGCAGCCGATTGAAAGGGAATCGAGTTCTTTCTCAGACGTCCACAAACTTACTTTCGTTGTGCTTGACTTCGCTTCCACTGCGGGAAAGTAGTCACACTTCAGGACCACGACGTGCTTGTTGCAGCCTACACCAATGATACTAAAATGATATTCCCTCATTTTCCTGCCTCCCTACCGGCCGGCTTGGAAAGGAACGTATGGAATGGGAGCCTCAGTTCCATCTCTCTGCTGCTAGTTCATTCAGGAGCGCAGCAGCGCTTCGGCATGACGATACAAGTCCAATCAACACAACTCTACTCTCTAGCCAAAAAAACTAGCTCAGTGTTCGTCAGGCAAAAAGCGAAACTTCAAAAGTCACGAACTCAAAAGCCTGAAAAGGTGGGGAAGTCAGAGTCAGAAGGTCCACTTGCCCCGTCTCGAACCCAGACAATCTTTGTGCAAGTCATCTATTAGAGAGCTCTAGCAGTCATGCTTGCTTCAAAATCATTTGTTCCTACACGCACTTTGCAACAACAACATTTGGTCGATATTCGGTGATTTTCAAAGGAACCTTCCAAAATCGGAGAAAAGCTTAGCGATTTTTGATAAGTCTCGTTTTCGGCGAGTTTTTCGGCCGGCCGATTAATTTGGGGAAAGCCTAGCCAGGAGAGACAATCCCCAGATTGGTATAAATGTATTATTAATTTTTATAAAATGGGGAGAAACACTTCTCAGCTCTCTTTAACAAAGTGGTCAGGACATAGTGGTCCAACATACGCCACGTTGATTACCTTCGTTTTCTCCTTTTTCACTTTCTTGCCAGTTAGGTGGTTAGGTAAACTTCTATCTAGCTCCTTGAATGCCAGATTGATGTCTTGTATACGTTTTCTGAATCAACAGCAACACAGATGGGCACAGTGAGAGTTAGACCACACAATGGTAGTATCCGAACAACCGTTCACCCCGTCGGCAACAGAACAGCGATGAGTTTAGCTAAACATTTAGAATTGTTGCGGGAAAGAACCCGGGCACTGCACAAAGCGGGGCGCTAGCTATGATTAATCACACCATCATAATCAACCTTCGGACACCACAGACGGACACATGCAGCAGGATACTCTTTTTCAATTCAGTGAGTTGTCACCGGCATCGATTTCGACACAAAACCAGGAGCTTTGCACTTCATTTCAACCGTACAACATTGCAACAAATGTATGAGTGACTATTGCTCTGCCCAACTGCAGCATGTCCTCGACAACCATCGGCAGCTGAGAACTTCTGTCCCGCCACTTCGACGTGTCGTTGTCGACCACATGTGAAGAAATCAGCAGTAATCGATAGTGATACTGGTAACATTAAACACAGCATGCATTGTGCTGTTGTAAGTCGTATTTTTAAAGGTAATTGGCTAGGCATACCGTTCTTGGTCGTTCTTATATTTCAGCCTGTTCCGTTTGTTCTCCTCGAAAGAAGTAAGTGTTCCCTGAAACGTGTGTGATGCCCAAGCATGTACAACCACACACACACACACACACACACACACACACACACACACACACACACACACACACACACACACACACACACACACACACACATACACACAGTCACACACACACAAACAGACACACCCCCCACACACACACACGCACCCACACACACACAAACACGCAGATACACACACATACAAGCACACACAAACACTCACACACACACAAGAACACACACACACCTATGCGTACAAGTACATGTACATGTACATACACTTACAAACACACATGACTACACACATATATCCACACACACATACGTGCAAAAGTATTGTATTTCACCGAATATAAAGTCACACATTTTTAAACTAAACTTCAGTTGATCGTGACTGCTTAATGATGTGAATGAATTGAAACAACTTGGCTCAGACCCGAAAATGGGGATTCGACCTTTAATATAGGGGATATACGGTACACACAAAAACACGCAACCATGCCCACAAAAATGTTCAGTATTCCTGAAACCCCTAGCCAGTCTGGTTGCGGAAAGGAATGCTGATCTGCACTATTCCGCTGTCATGAATCACCTTCACTGCAAGATTTCATTTTGCTCAACGCCATGGGCCCTCATGTTCTTCAGGGGCACTCGAACATCCTATCGCTGCAGGCCCTTCGCAGCTGAATGCAGGCTCAGGGCTGGTCAGCAGTTACTTCCTGGTACCACCCTTCTGCAGAAATTTGTAGTCACTGTCATAATAACAAGGTCCTATCACATTTAAATGCGTTGTCTTGTTCTTCCATTCTTGTTCTTACTTTCTACTGATTGTAATGAAAAAATTGGTAGTAGAAGTAGTGGGCTTGTGTAAACGTGTGCGTATGCGTGTGTATGTATGCGTATGCGCGTGCGTGGGTGGGTGCGTGCATGTGTGTGTGTGTGTGTGTGTGTGTGTGTGGGTGCGTGCGTCTGTGTGTGTGTGTGTGTGTGTGTGTATGAGTATGTGTGTATGTGTTTCTGTGTACCATATTTCCCCGATTATAATTCGATTATAAGTCACCTTGCCCTCATTGGTCCTACCATAACCTTGAAGCTTCCAACCTGGAAGGCTATTGGTTTGCGCACTGGAGGTGTTTCAGAGCTAGGTCTCCGGTTGTTGAATGTCTCAGTAGCATGTCAGTTTTGTGGCCTGTTATTGCACTTTTTGACTGCTTCTTATCTTGTTACAGTCGCGGATAGTTGCTCCAGAACTCCTTTCCATGTTGTTAGGTACCTTCTCCCGTACGTTCTACAACTTTTCCAAGCTGGCTTGCATGCACCGTCGTCCTCACCTTTTGTTTCCTTTTGTCACCTTTCATTCCGCTGGCCTGTGTAGCTACTTGCGCGCCCATATTTGCCATAGCAACCCAGGCCCTTTATCTTGTCGCCCTCACTTGATCTCTCTCTCTCTCTCTCTTCCATAATGTAGTCTTTCCGTTCGTCTTTGTCTCGGTCTCTTCGTCTACAATAAATGCCGTTCTACCTACCTATTCCCGTTGTCCGTTGTGTCTGGGGAGTATGACTCCTTTTCGTACTCAACAATGTGATTTCTTCTATTTTTAATTGAAGAATTTTTATATTCAATGGTTTGAGGGGAAGACGTCAACGGGAAAAGTCTGACGAAAATATTGACTGTCACGACCAGGACTCGAACCAGGGGCACTCCCTAGGCTTCGTTCCTAAACGCACATTGCAACAATATTTGGTTGATTTTCGGCGATTCTCAAAAGGAACCCTCCGAAATCAGCGAAAAGCTTAGCAATTTTTCGATAAGTCTTGTTTCGGCGAATTTTTCGGCCGGCCGATTTGGAGAACGCCTAGCCCTCGCTTGAGTTACGATTATTATTAAACGAATATTCCAAACTCGATTTTCGCATTCCACTCGTCAGTGGATGGTATCAGAACTGAGGGTAAGGTGTACGAAAAGAACATTAAGTACTGGAAAATTAAAAGTGTGACCAAAGGAAGTGTTAAAGCATTACATAACAGCAGTCAGACACAGTGTTAAAAAGTATACTCACTGAGTGCAAACACAAAGCATTGGGTGATACAGTGGAAAATAACAATATTTTCACATCTGATAGCAAGCTACGAGGACAACTTGAACGCGACTACATGCTTCTTTTTATTTTATAGAACAGGATTTTGCAAACGAATGTATACAGCTTCCAGAACCTTCAACTGTTTTAAAACAATCTTGCACGGCACAAAACAGAAAATCATCAAACACACTGAGGCAATCTCGGAAAAGATCTCGGCGGACCACGGTCGAGTAAAAGACCGAGGTCCGCTGAGTAAAAGACCGACTCACCCTATATGTCCCATATAGATCTCGTCTTGGTCAATATCCTATACACAAGATGCCACGACGAGAAGAAAGTTCAAAAGAACCCTGATGCACATACCCAAACCCATATCTAGGACAAACACCTTGTTCTTACTCGAACATGCCTCCGGATAGCACACGACTCGTTGTTTTAGAAGACTGTATTATAATGTTTTACTCTGACTCTGCTCGAAATCATCTCGCAGTACAAAGGCAAGTTCTGCCTCTCTCGAAGCAGAAGCGGAGATTCAAAAACATTCAAATCAAAAGATCGCGCGAAAGCAGTGTACGCGACTACGCGCATCAGACGTGAATACAACATGAGAAGTGAAAGCAGTGTACGCGACTACGCGCATCAGACGTGAATACAACATGAAGAATGAAAGCAGTGTACGCGACTACGCGCATCAGACGTCAGCTGACGTGAATACAACATGAGGAACGAATGCGTAGTAGTATGATAATGCACAACAGTACAACAAGCAGTACTGATAGACACATAAAACGGAGTGGCTCTGCACCATTATCAGTGGGCTGGATATAGACTGTACATATCCCCCTTCCTGCTCGAATGGCATGGTGGAAGGAGAATGATCAATGAGAGCAGAACTAAGATTAGAGAGATCATTGATGTAAACAGGAGAAAGAGAGAGAGAGAGAGAGGGAGAGAGAGAGAGAGAGAGAGAGAGAGAGAGTTTACTTGGCAGGCACCTCCGGCTCTACCTCAAGTGGAACCAGCAAGTTGGTCGGACGCCGATACGTTTTGCCTTTGACGAGGATGTCCACCACACGCACGAGACCGTCTGCTCCGGGGAAAACGTCCACCACTTTGCCGAGAGGCCACATTCCACGGGGCGTGTCCTGTGCCATGTACAATACCATGTCGCCAACCGTTATGTTGCGACTGCGCGTTCTCCAACGTTGTCGGATATTAAGTGTGGGCACAAATTCCTTCAGCCAGCGTTGCCAGATGTGGTCCACAGCAACCTGCACAGCTTTCCACCGTCTCTGCGGGTGTGCTGGTGTCATAGAAGCTTGTGCCGCTTCTATGGCCGTTTCCACCTGAATGTGGCCAATGAGGAACTGCTGAGGTGTCAACGGGGCGAGATCATCAGCATCTGATCCAACTGTAGTCAGTGGCCGGCTGTTTAACAGGGCCTCTGCCTGAACAAAGGCAGTTTGCAGTTCTTCATCAGTGAAGTTAGCAGAATGCAGTATAGCAAACACTGCTCGCTTGGCTGACCGGACAAGCGCTTCGAAGAAGCCGCCATGGTGTGGTGCCCGGGGCGGGTTGAACGTCCACGACGTGTGCTGTGTCGCTGTACGGGTGACCACTTGACCTCGGTCAATAGCTTGAAGGGCATCACGCAGCTCACGTTCTGCACCCACAAAGTTTCTGCCGTTGTCTGACACTACCAGACGTGGTGCTCCGCGGCGCTTACAAAATCGGTCAAAACACATCAGGAAGCCTTCAGTGGAGAGGTCATAGGCCATCTCTAAATGGCATGCTCGTGTCTCCTGACATGTGAAGAGGCAGAGATAGCGCTTCAATTGTGAGCGTCCACGACCTTGACGGGTTAGGAATGGGCCTGCGAAGTCCACTCCAACATGCTGGAAGGCCTGCTTCGTCATAGCAACTCGAGCGGCAGGAAGTTGGCCCATGAGCTGGTCTGCAGGCTTCCTCCACTGCCGAATGCAGCCATTACATCGTAGGCGATGCGATTTGATCGCTTGTTTGCCTTTGATCAGCCAATACGAAGTTGTCAGGTTGGCCCACAGATGATTCGTGCCGACGGCATGGTGGGTTTTGCGATCCTCATTGGCAATGATGAGGTCAGATACTGGATGCCGATACGGCAGTATCAGTGGCTGCCTCGTACCTTCCGACATTGCTGATGCCTGCTCCAGCCTGCCTCCAACGCGTAGTACAAATGGCCGTTCAGCGGTGTCTAGGACTGGATTGAGCCGGAGCAAAGGGTCTGAGGGCTTAACACTTTTCTCCCGCTGTAAGGTCGAAATAGTGGCCGAGTAACACTCCTGCTGGGCAACGCTGATCCAGTGCCGTTCTGCTCGCTGTATTTCAGTTGCCGACAGTTCGGGAACTGCTACATTCTCTGCCGACGACACAGCTACACGAGAGACCGCATCACTGCCTTCAGGTTCTTCCCCCTTCTTGGCACCTCGGCAGTTTGAGGAGAACCGGATTATCCAAGCCGTGACACGCTTCAGTCGGTTCCAGGATGAAAAGTTCTCGGGACGCAGTCTAGATGCCGTGGCTTCGGCGACAAACGTCAACGCTTGGTGTCGCTTAGTTTCTCCTAGAAGCTTGCTTGGGACGGTGATATCGCGTTGCGGCCACTCGGTCGATGGCTTGGACAGAAACTCTGGTCCTGTCCACCATGTGCTGCTCGTTGCTAGCGAGGTGGCTGGCATTCCTCATCTTTAGGTCGCTGGTTCGGATCCGGCTCGAAGGACCATTATGTTCTTACTCGAACATGCCTCCGGATAGCACACGACTCGTTGTTTTAGAAGACTGTATTATAATGTTTTACTCTGACTCTGCTCGAAATCATCTCGCAGTACAAAGGCAAGTTCTGCCTCTCTCGAAGCAGAAGCGGAGATTCAAAAACATTCAAATCAAAAGATCGCGCGAAAGCAGTGTACGCGACTACGCGCATCAGACGTGAATACAACATGAGAAGTGAAAGCAGTGTACGCGACTACGCGCATCAGACGTGAATACAACATGAAGAATGAAAGCAGTGTACGCGACTACGCGCATCAGACGTCAGCTGACGTGAATACAACATGAGGAACGAATGCGTAGTAGTATGATAATGCACAACAGTACAACAAGCAGTACTGATAGACACATAAAACGGAGTGGCTCTGCACCATTATCAGTGGGCTGGATATAGACTGTACACACCTAGAAACTGTATACATTTAGTTTACCTGTGATGCTACTCCACTTTCTGCTGTAGCGCTGTTGTCGTTAAGGTCCAGCGGAGTATCGCCGAACCCCGTACTGCTGGAAGCCTGTAAAAAGCAACGGAAAACCCCAAATATACAGTCAGGATGGATCACCGTTTTTTTTAAATAATTTCGTAACCTGGACACATTTCAGATGTGTGATGCAGGGTCTCACTTTGACACGAATTCACTCACCGATGCTTGCGATGGCAGGCCTGCATCTGCTGTCGCCGATAGATTAGCTGCTCCCATCTGAGCCACTGCAGTCAACACAAGAGAACAACCACCAGTACTTATACTGGTAATGTGATTTCACAATTTCCAGACAGTCAGCTTGTGCACACCAGCATGCCAACAGCATTGCTGCGTCCGGATTCGCCGCCTCAAAATCATATCCCAGCATATAACAAACGTGGACAACAGGAGCATACATCAAACTGCCTTACTTCCTGTGCCGCCCGGATAAGACTGCTCTGTGTTGCCGGAGTAGGAAGTGCCAGTGGCACCCATTCCAGATGGCATGCCGTCACCAAACATCTGCACCGCGAGAAGACCAGCAGTAAAACAGCAAAAAAAAAACAAGAAGAAAAACAGAAAAAATGATGGCGATATAAACCAGATCATCTTGATATTTGGTCCTGCCAATGCCAACTCCACAACTTTACTAACTATCGTCAACTCGTGCGAATCCATTTTTGCTGAATACAACCTCCGTTTCAACGTCGATAAAACTGAGTATTTTGAAACGACAAAAGACAACAACTGGAAATGCATCAAACTCCTTGGGTCAAGACTTGGAACAGCAGAAGACGTATCACAGAGAATTCGTGTAGCCAACCGTGCCTTCTCAGCCATCGCTTGGAAGAGACATTCCCTTGTGTCCCGTTTCTGCATGTTTTTAACCCTAGAAGTACCGGAGGCATCATATGATGCATTTGCGAATTTCAAAATGGGATTGCTGTTAGATTGGGGCTTAGAATCTCCCCAAATTTTGCGACTTTTATTTATTTTTGTATTTTGTTAATGGCAGTGGCTTGTGTTTTCAAAAAATTAGTACCGTTCCGAAATGCCAGGGGGTGCTACCTAGAAGTACCGGGCGGCATCATATGACTCCACATACCATAGGCATCAATAAAAGCGCGAATATGGCTTAGAACCACACTTGAATAACGTGAAGAGGAATACATTTGGGAGCAAGGAGATTGGGGACCATGAAGGTGGTGATTTGTACATATGGACATGCTAATATGCACATTTCACGTGTCGTTATGATCAATATCGTAATCCCGAATCTTGCCGAAACAGAGGAATTTGTTTGTCCCAAGTTTGGAAATTGATTCACTATGTCATCTGCAGCATAGTACGATATAAAGTGCAAGGGCAATTATAATATTCTAGCCAGGAACGTCCTTTGAGTTTACAATGGTCTGGCGGAAGCCATGTTCAGTAGGCGCAGTGTCGCTGCCGATGAAGCATTTCATTTGATTTTGAATTTTTTTAGCCCGGAGGTTGGGGATGAATGCGAGGAGAGTGCCTGGGGCATTGTGCTCGAGCAATTAGAAGTGATCGAACACAGAGACACATAGTTATATGCTCCAGATGAAGATGAGTGAAAACTAATTGCTCCGGCTTCTCGATCAGTCTGATACGGGACCGGAGTCGAGGGAGTAAGCGGATATTGGTGGTGATAAAGCTATGGAGCCATACACATAACAGAACATCAATCTCCAAAACTCGTGCAGGATTTCCTTCATGAAGCTGGGTTCTCTGGCAAAGTTGGTAGGTAGTGGAAAATGTGTTGCATCAAGCAAGCGCGAACGCGCGTAACCGGTTGTTGCTTCCGAAGTATGCGGGCTTTTCCGAGATAATCACAATTTTGAAGATGGGGCAGATGCATTATTTGCATTTATTGACCCGAATATGATCCATGTCATGATCAAGTGCACAAGGTAGGAGGAAAAAACAAAAAATATTGGAGAGGACTCCACTTGGAGTGAAGGCAATAATCATGGCATTGGTTTCGCAAATTTACGCAAGAGGCGTCCTCTGTACCCGCAATAATCTGCCGACAGCCCTTCGGCTGGATAGGAATGGACGCCATAATAATCAAGTAAAATCCCTAAAAATAGTTTCCAGGAACTACTCTGCTACTTGAGGTTTGATCACGAAGATGATCTCCGGACACGACGTCGAACGAAAATTATTCATTTGCTATGAGTCGCGACACCACGTTCTCCTTTCGCTCGTAAATGTATTTATCACAGCGGTCAAAGAACGACCAACCTGGCTGAGAAAAATCCAGCAAATTGGCCCAGCAGCAGCCATTTCCGGGGTAAAGGACTGAAATGTAGAGTTTGCAGGATGAGAATGGCAAGCAAATGCTCTTTTTTTCCGTAAACTGACGAGAGGTTGCCCTTTCGCTGCGCGCAATGCCAGCTGCTGGTCTCCAAGATAGTGCACCTGTCATTGGTTCTTCCTTTTAAAAGGTACCCCACGGATTTCTGTTTCTACACAGTCATATTGCCGATAATAATTCCAAGCAGGTATGTTTAAGTCCAGTGGAGTCATATGATGCCTCCGTAATTCTAGGGTAGTTGAAATTTTGGTACTTCTAGGAATAAATTGTCTAATCATGCCCACTCTGTTATATAATTGTGCCCTTTGGACATTGTCCGAAGCCCTTTCCTCAAAATTTGATATATGGCACAGGAAAAAGCTGAAATGTCTCATTAATATTCACCATCCTCACCACATCACCAATAATCACCTGTAATACCAAACCAATATCATCCCTATTACCTCTATTTGCAGAGAACGTCGACTTCTATGGTTTGGCCACGTTGTCCGACAAGGCCCAAACTCTCCATCATACCAGGCGCTGATGTTAGCCACTGACACCTCTGACATCAAGAAGCCACGCGGACGCTTATCTTTGATATTTACGACCCACCCAAGTTGGGTGGTGTGCTGCTTTGCTGCTTCGAATTGTAGTTAGACCGCTTTGTCAAATATCGTACTGGTCTCGTCATCGTCCAGTAACAATCGACATTCTTTGTTCCGTTGGGACTGTAGCTTTTGCTCGTTTTCGTTGAGCTTGCCTTCCCCTCTTTGGTCTTTCCGTAACCTTGAACCTTCCAAGTTGGAAGGCTGTCGGTTAGCGCTACGGAGATGTGTTAAAGCTAGGTGTCAGGACGTCGAATGTCTCAGTACTCTGTCAGTTTGGTGCCTAGTTATTGCACTTTCTGACTGTATAAAGTATCATGTTACAGTGATGGAGAGTTACTCTTAACTCGTATCCATGATGTATTTTTCCTTTCTACATTATAAATATTTTTACTCATATATGTGTGTATATGTGTGTGTGTGTATGAGTGCATGCATGTCGTGTCTGTATGTGTGTATGTGTGTGTGTTTGTCTGTCTGTGTCTGTTCACTCACACTGCTCTGGTGTCCCGAGAGTGCCTTCACCGAAGATCCAGAGTAAGAAGTGTGACCATGCTGCAACGGTCTGTTCCCAGGACTATAGTACGGAGAGCCCGTATAAGCGTACAGCCGTCCCTCTCTAATCCGGCACCTTTTGCTACGGCGTTTTCTGCTGGATTAACAAGGGTGCTGGATTAAGAAATCCTGCCCTCTGACCCGGCCCTACCCAATTGCATGCATGTATCATATGTATGTCAAAACGCAGGGTTTTTCCGTGTCGACCCAAGTATTTGGTGCACGGCTTTATATTCTCAATTGTTCTCCGGGAATATACACAGTGATAAAGTGGTAAAGTAAAACAGAGAACATGTTCACATGTACTCTTGCACATACACGCACACACACACACACCCCTGAAAATTGGCAGGACACTACTCCTTGCTAAAATAAGAAAGTATGGTTGACTGCCGTTGTCTCCTGGACAAGCCTAACGCTAGCCTGGCCTGGCAAGGAGTGCACCTGTACGGTACGCGATTCACGACTGCCGGATTATGAAACCAAACTACGTGCAGTTTGAGCGATTCGTTTCAAAAAGTCACTGCTGGAGGCGGAATTCAAGTGCCGGATTAAGATGTAGGAATTGAACGAAAAAAATCGGTTTCGTCAGAAAGTGCGCCGGTCGGCAAGGGTTGCGGATAAAGAAGTGCCGGATTAGAGAGGGACGACTGTATACTGTTGTGCCACTCGGTCCACTGAGGGAGGATGCCGTTGGCGTGTTACCATACTGTGACTGGTGTAGACTGCTGCCAGTCTTTGCTGCTGGTAGGGGAGGTCGTTGCGGTTGCTGCTGTTGTTGCCGCTGCTGCTGTTGTTGCGGCTGCTGCTGTTGTTGCTGCGTCATTGACATCGAGAATGCAGTGGATCCATGTGTCCACTTCAAGGAGAGCACATCATCAGGAATATCACGAAGAAATTACAGAATACATTGCCAGCCCTCGTCAATGACACGGCAAAAGAGCACAGTGATTCAGAAACCCCGAAAAGGGAAATGATTTCCACTTGCACAAGAGTGCTGCTACTGTAGCCCAGTATTCCAAACACGCAAACATGCCTAGCCAAAGTCACCATTGGCAAACATCTACAAATTCTGCTCAATCCAGCCAGAACATTTGTAGGAGTTGCATTATTTGATGGAAAGAATATTTGTCACAGTTAAGAGTATCTATTATGTAGAGCTTGTGTGGATATAGATTCCTATTTCCATATTCATCAACCATAAGTACAGGTGGAGTGGTGTCTTCAACTTCATTCTCCCGAGTCAAGCTCCGTATGAAGACATCCAAGAAGAAGATGGCCTGATGAGTCCAGCGGGGACGAAACGTACCTCGCAATCGAGCTATGTCGGTGCTGTGTCATTTTCTATGTGCCATGCCCTACTTGATGTACCAGCCTGCTATGTTGGATACAGCCAACCATGCATCGACTAGGCGCCAGGCGCGAACTGATGGTGGTGGTGGTGAGCAGGAGAGCTCTCTGCCAGAACTTTGCAGCTTAGAGAGCATGTTTGTGCAGGCGTGTGTTTACCGCCATATTGCCAGGTGTGTCTTTACCACCATATTGCCAGGTGTGTCTTTATCACCATATTGCCAGGTGTGTCTTTACCACTATATTGCCAGGTGTGTCTTTGCCACCATATTGCCAGGTGTGTCTTTACCGCCATATTGCCAGGTATGTTTTTACCACCATATTGCCAGGTGTGTCTTTATCACCATATTGCTAGGTGGGTCTTTATCACCATATTGCTAGGTGGGTCTTTATCACCATATTGCTAGGTGTGTCTTTACCACCATATTGCTAGGTGTGTCTTTATCACCATATTGCCAGGTGTGTTTTTATCACCATATTGCCAGGTGTGTCTTTATCACCATATTGCTAGGTGTGTCTTTATCACCATATTGCCAGGTGTGTCTTTATCACCATATTGCTAGGTGGGTCTTTATCACAATATTGCCAGGTGTGTCTTTATCACCATATTGCCAGGTGTGTGTCTTTATCACCATATTGCCAGGTGTGTCTTTACCGCCATATTGCCAGGTGTGTCTTTATCACCAAATTGCTAGGTGTGTCTTTATCACCATATTGCCAGGTGTGTCTTTATCACCATATTTATCAACCATAGGTACAGCTGCAGTGGTGTCTTCAACTTCATTCTCCCGAGTAGCATCGCTAGTAATACTATTAAAGTCAAAACCGTTTTCACCCTGAAGATCAGCCATGCCCGAAAATTTGGTGAATAACTGTTAGTTTGCGTATGCAGCAAAGAGACCGCATTTTAAGTGTTTTAGGTGAGGTATCCCAAGGTACACATTTCAGACGTTCGTTTCACGGTCGCACATCGACTCTAATTCACTCACCGATGCTTGCGATGGCAGCCCTGTATCTGCTGTTGCCGATAGATCAGCTGCTCCTATCTGAGCCGCTGCGGTAAACACAAGAGAAGCACCACCAGTACTTGCACTTGGTAATGTAATTTCACAATTTCCAGACAGTCAGCTTGTGCACACCAGCATGCCAGCAGCATTCCTATGTCCGGATTCGCCGTGTCAAAATTACATCCCACCACAACCCCGGAAAACAGTAGCATACATCAAACTACCTTACTTCCTGTGCTGCCCGGATAAGACTGTGCTGTGTCGTCGGAGTAGAGAGTGCCAGTGGCACCCATTCCCGGTAGCATGTCATCACCAAAGGTCTGTACAGAAGACCAGCAGTCAAAATCAAAGAAATAAAAAAAGGGAAGAAAAGATGATGAGTAACCAGGGAATACCACCTGGGAGATGCATGTTATGTCTACAGGCGCGTGCCCCGTATGGGTTACTGGGTGCCCGGAATCCCCCCTTTTTCGCTCAAAATGCAGGATTTTGCTTCATTTTTTGAACCGAACCCCCCTTGAAAGGCACCGGCGCACGTGCCTGGTCTATGTGTGTGTGTGCCCGCGTGCGCGTGCGTGCGTGTGTGTTTGTGAGTCCGTCTGTGTCTGTTTACGCACACTGCTCTGGTGTGCCGACAGTGTGTGTGCCTTCACCGAAGATCCGGTGTAAGATGTGTGACCTTGCTGCACCGGTCTGTTGCCAGGGCGATGGTAAGTCGATTTCGTATCAACGTATACTGCTGCGCCACTCGGTCCACTGTGGGAGGGTGCCGTTGACGTGTTACGATACTGGGACTTGTATAGACTGCTGCCAGGCGTTGCCGGCGGTGGTGGAGGTTGTTGCGGCTGTTGCTCTTGTTGGGGCTGCTGCTGTTGTTGAGGCACCACTGGTATCCGGGATGCAGTGGATCCACGTGTCTGCTTCAAGTAGAGCACATCATCAGGAATATCACAATGAAAAAAATCGACGGGTTTGCGTACAGGGCAGGTCAAGAACAAGGGGTCGTACAATTTCCTGGTCAAGAACCACCTTTCCGCTTCCGTGGGAAGCTGAATGAAGTAGGGAAATAATCATCCCATGTTCTCGCTCCACGTACACCGACATAACGAGATGGACCCAGACAACAGAGGCAGGAGCACACAGAGTGAGGGTAGTAGGCCGCAGCCAGATATGAACCGGAATGCAGAAGAAAACTAGGAGCAACAACAGGGGGGACAGACCCCAGGAGGAAAGAATGAGTACATTCTAATAACATAAATAGGCCAGGACAAACACCACTTGGGACCGTCAGATTAATTTCTCTGGACCGAGCCAGCCGGGAAAAACCTCTCACGCCGACGGACGCATGAATGAGGGAAAAACCGGGTGTATAACCACAAGTGGCAACATGGCAGCATAAAAACAGGCACAACATATCTACAGCCAAGAAAGAAAGGGATGAAGATGGGCAGACATGAAGGGTGGGAGGGTGGGGACACTGGTGAGACACAAAAAACTGACGGAAGAAGTCAGGCAAACAGAACAGCAACAAAAAGAGCAAACATCAGATGCCATATTCGCAAGAGAAAAAAATTTGTTGCGCGAGAAATATAACATCTTCTACAATGTCAATGCTTCCACGTAAGCATGTCATTGTGCAGCATACGGAACTAACTTCTACATAACAATGATTCAAAGAGACGTTATTCAAAATAAGTCCTGCATTTCTACGTTCACTGGTACTATAATCAAAGATTCCGTTCAAGGCAGCTGCCATGGTATATACCTTACCACCTTTAACACACGCTGTCCATCCGCTCATTGACTAGCATGAAATCGTTTGTAGTGATGATCAATCTACAAAACACTATTGGTAAAAACAATCCGGAGTCACCTCGATTGAGACAGACAGTTTCTACGGGACCTGCCTGTCACCATCAGGGTCAAATGGCAAGTCATCTAGCCGCTGTGCCCGACAATTTCAGGAAAACCAGTCATGTCCTCCTCCAACGAACTTGAACCAGCTATATTGCTTCACAACTCACAACGACACAAATTCATCGACGGAGTGACTTTACGCTTAACGCTTCGCTTCGTGTTTCTTTGTGTTTCTCTTGAAAATCTAGCAAAGTTGAGTCATTCGCATGAAAACGTCTGGTTACGTCAGGGAAACCTGCTGATTTCCCCCATTTTAAAGCGCTGAACGGCGCAAAAATGGTGAAATCACGTCAACGGAATAGTGTTGACGAGTGAACAAACCTCCTCGCACCGGCGTTGGTGCACAGCTTCGGGACGGCCAAGTTCTGAAATCGTCCTCTAGAGATCCTTACCTACCTCTGTGCGAAGTTTCAAGTCCTCCTTCTGAAGTGGCATACCCCGAAAATAAAAATCATCCTACAGACTTCGGCTCCCCGACTAGTTTGAGTTGAGGTAAATTAAGGTCACAAAGAGACTCAAGGGTCATATGCCATGCTGTATACTGTATTGTGTGTGTGTGTGTTTTGTGTGTGTGTGTGTGTGTGTATGTGTGTGTGTGTGTATTTGTGTGTGTGTGTGTGTGTGTGTGTGTGTTTGTGTGTGTGTGTGCGTGTGTGTGTGTGTGTGCGTGTGTGTGTGTGTGTGAGTGTGTGTGTGTGTGTGTGTGTGTGTGTGTGTATTTGTGTGTGTGTGTGTGTGTGTGTGTGCATGTGTGTGTGTGTGTGTGTTTGTTTACTCACACTGCTCTGGTGTTCCGACATTGCCTTCACCGAAGATCCAGAGTATGATGTGTGACCTTGCTGCACTGGTGTGTGGCGAGGGCGATGGTACGGCGATCTCGTATCAGCGTATACTTCTGCGCCACTGGGTCCACTGGGGTAGGATGCCCTTGAAGTGTTACCATATTGTGACCGGTATAGATTGCTGCCAATCCCTGGTGGCGGTAAGGGAGGGTGCTGCAGCTTCTGATGTTGTGGCTGCTGATGTTGTTTTGGATGCTGCTGCTGTAGTTGCGCCTGCTGCTGCAGTTGCGCCTGCTGCTGCAGTTGCACCTGCTGCTGCAGTCGCGCCTGCTGCTGCAGTCGCGCCTGCTGCTGCAGTCGCGCCTGCTGCTGCAGTCGCGCCTGCTGCTGCAGTCGCGCCTGCTGCTGCAGTCGCGCCTGCTGCTGCAGTCGCGCCTGCTGCTGCAGTCGCGCCTGCTGCTGCAGTCGCGCCTGCTGCTGCAGTCGCGCCTGCTGCTGCAGTCGCGCCTGCTGCTGCAGTCGCGCCTGCTGCTGCTGTTGTTGCGCCTGCTGCTGCTGTTGCGCCTGCTGCTGCTGTTGTTGCTGCTGCTGTTGTTGTGGCTGCTGCTGCTGTTGTTGCGGCTGCTGCTGTTGTTGCTGCATCATTGCCATCGAGAATGCAGTGGATCCATGCGTCTGTTTCGAGGAGAGCACATTATCAGGAATATCACAAAAAAATTACAGAATACATTGCCAGCTCTCGTCACTGACACGGCAAAAGAGCACAGTGATTCAGAAACCCCGAAAAGGGAAATGATTTTCACTTGCACAAGAGTGCTGCTACTGTAGCCCAGTATTTCAAACACGCCAACATGCCTAGCTAAAGTCTGCATTGGATAATAATGATATCTACAGATTCTGCTCAATCCAACCAGCACATCCATCCAAGTTCTCTAACGCTAACTGAGACAGAATCAATGCAAGATCTGGTCATATGCACATAGCACCTATTCGGTAGGGCACTGTCCTGTCGAGACAGGGATGCTGGGTTCGAATCCCGTTTGTGGATCCCTCTTTTGCAATAGTTTGAACAATCCAATGCTGGATCAAAGTTGTTTGTTGAACTGACAAGGACTCATCTAGAGTGTAGCTTAGGGAATTTCCCTGAACGTGTACCCCTTGAATCTCTTTCGACCTTGATAGTATTCACTTTAAAAAATCAAGCAATGAAAGGTCATCCACAGTAATATTTCTGGTAGAAGCATGGCTAGTTATACTGAAGTCAAAAACTGTGTTCACCCTGATATTCCGCCATGCCCGAAAATTTGGTGAATATTGTGTTTGAGTTCAGGTACCCTAATATCAAAAGAGACTCAAGGGTCATACACGTTCCGGGAAATTCCTGAAGCTACAGTCTAGACGAGTCCTTGTCAGTTCAACAATTGTATGCGGATGACACTGGCCTCATCTGTTCTGATTCCTCCCCTGCACAATTACTCCTTACCATGCAGCATCGCATCAACAGCACTGTCATGTGGATGCAAACGTGGAAACTCCAGCCCAATTTAGACAAGACAGAAGCCATGTATATTTCTTCATCCCCTCCTGATCAACCATTATTCTTCCCTGACTCGACTATGCCTATCCGTGTTGTTACTCAGCACAAACATCTAGGTGTGATGTTTGACTGCAAACTCTCTTGGGCTGCACATGTCAACTGTGTATGCAAGCGAACCAGTTCAGCCTTAGGGGTACTACAACCACATTGCACTCATTTGCCCATCCAGTGTAAACTATTATTTTATCAGTGCTATATTCTCCCTATATTCGACTATTGCGATACCGCTTGGTGTGGCCTTTCTGACACAACTCTGAGCCAATTAGAAGTCCACCATAGATTTATACTTAAAATTCTTTACAACAAGGATCGATGTTTTCCTTCCGATGCCCTTTATCGACTTGCACACACTTCTCTCTCCGTTCGTCATAAGCACCATCTCTGTACACTGGTTCATAAGATATTTCTTCATAAAACCCCTTCACACATGATGAAGTACAATTGGTTTTCGACAAGCTCAACCCGTAACGCGCTCACCCTGCCTCTTGTTAAGTCAGCCCAGTATCTAAAGTCCCCTTTGTTTTCCGGCTACTCTCATTGGTTATCATTACCATACGGTCTGAAAACTTGTTCTTCTATTGGTCAGTTTAAAGATCTACTATCACAACTGAACTAGACGCAATAATTACCATCGAAGAACATTCTCGAATACCTGGGTGATGCACGAATTTTGATAGTGCTCACTTCCGTTAATCGTTTTTCTTTGTAATTTTCCATTCATTTTCTGCTTTAATTCATATTATTTTGCTTTGTTTTCCTAGCTTACTATTGCCGTGGCTGGCTCAACGCTCTTGTCTCAGGGGATTCTGTCCCTGCATTAGCTATGCTTGTCACATGCTATGAGATTGTGTCTAATAATAATAATAATAATAACAAACAATCTTGCTCCAGCATTGGATTGTTCAAACTGTTGCAAGAGAAGGATCCACGACCAGGATTCGAACCCAGCACCCCTCTCTTTCCAGAACAGTGCCCTACCAATTAGGACCCGGTTACACATGCACTCGAAAGTAGCGGATCCGCTGAAGCGACATCACGGGAGCGAAAAATACCATGGTAACAGCGAAAAGCGGAACTTCCGCTTCAGCGGAAACTCCAATCCGCTTCCTCCAAAATTTTCGAAGCGAGACTGTCGCTTCTGCGGTTTCGCTTCAGCGGAAAACACCACGGTCTGCTGTATATGGACTTGATACGAGAAATTTGTATGCGTATGTCCATGCAACAAAATGCGTGCAAGATAGTCATTGACCTTGTCTATTCTCCGTGCCGTATGCACCACAATCCACTTTACTCTCATTTTCCGCCAAAGTAGGAGTTTGCCCTGTTTGTATGTGTGACCATGCACACGGGGTTTCGTTGGAGCGACACCAGGCTCGCTGTCGCAAAACCTTGATGCCGAAGCGAACCCCAGTGCATGTGTTACCGGGCCCTTAGGCTACCGGAGATCACACACACCCATCCCGTGGGTCGTTCTTTCTACAAAACTCACTAGTGCTTTGCTGCGGTTCATGCTTGTCCACGAAGGCTGTTGCTGCTGTTGCTGCTGATGGTGTTGCTGGTGTGCTAGCTGTGGCTGCTCCTGGGGTTGCTCCCGGGATTCAGGTGATGCTTGCGACCGTGCTGGCAGACCACCAGACCGCACCGGTGGTCTCTACAAGGAACGGAGAGATCACCAATAACAGGATTCAACACAATAAATGAAGCAAGTTGCGCATTCATCATGCACATCTTTTGCGAGAGGTTAATAACAGGATAAGAATATTTTCAGAACAAATTCACCATGCACATAGAGAATTGGAGCACATATTAAAACGGTGCCAACTAGCGGGTATTTAGGCAACACTTACCGTATCACTATTATCAGATATAACAAAAATCACATAGGTCCTTGCAATGAAGGATGACACGACATCATCACAACTAGAAATTTCATGTCCAGCTGGCAATCACAAGGTGACTAAAATGATACAGGAAATGCCTGCAGTACCCCCTCCTCCCCCTGACTGTGGTATCTGCCCTCTCTTTTACTCTCCATTTTGCACCAATTTTAGCACTTCTGAGCAGCGAAAGACAGAGATCTGATTTACAGTGGCATGTGCTGCAGAGAGATAATGTTTATTCATTTTTCGTTCATCACTTCGACTAGCCTGCATCCAGTACGGCAGTAGCAGCTGACTTACTTCTGTGGCTTTCAGGATCACCCATCGCTATGCCTTCCACGTACTCTGGTTTGCTCAAAGTGTAAGGCCAGACTTACAGTACTTTGACGTAATTTCCGTAAATGTATCACCATAGCATCCTCTGCTAGTCAACAATCGTTCCATTCCTTTTTCCTCATCATAATGCTGCTAGCAGTATAAATCTCAGGAAACATAGACGCCTGTTACTGATGCGACTTTGGAATATAGGTACGACGACAACAGCAAAAACAAGGGATAGGCAAGGGAAATGCGAAAAGGGGAAGGGAGGCGGAGAGCCAGGTTCTCATTATTTTTCGTTTATGCCACAGCCCAATGCAGAGCAACGACTGACTTTGTGCTCGCTCTTACATAATTATGTGCTTGCTAGTCTAAGTTCGTTACCTGGTTACCGTGACAAAGCGCCTGAGGCCAGCAGGCAGGTGTCATGGAAGCATGTAGAAAGGACTAGTAAAACTAAAAGTAGTAGTAGTACTACTACGACTAGTTAGTGCCTACATGTAGTGCAGTAGCGGCCTGCTTTTGCACAAAGCCTGGCATCACATTTCCAGGAAGCTAGATAGCGCTTCCACGAAGCAGAAAACGCGAGAACCTACTCAACACAGACTCAGTACACGACTCCAGACAGTCAGTCCTGTACAGAAGAACAAGGACAATCATTCAAGGCTAGTTTGCTGCGACTTGAAGTTTCATGCTCTCGCAGTCATCAGGCAAAAGGTTGGGTGCCGACCATGCCAGCATAATATACCGGTATGCCAGGAGAAGGTATGAAAAAGCTGTGAGAATGTGGGGGCTAGCGGTGTTATCTTACTTAGGCAGGAGGCTGTGTGCAGAGTGTGTGGTTGTTGAAAGCAGGGGCTAGCAGTAGGCACCGGCGGATTACGCCGGCATAATTATTGGCATAATTATTTGGTGGTTGGAGCATAATTTGGCATCCTTTCGGAGGTAGGAGCATAACTACACGATTATACCACAGTTCTAGTATGCAGGCTACACAATTGTGTACAATGCACCTGGTCAGTCCTGGTGGTCTGCATAGTAAAGGGCTTGAACTGTTGAAGTTGGAGGGCATGCACTAATAATTCGCGGGATTCGCGTTGGCATCGCTTGAATGTTCGGAAACACACAAACTAGCCTTCGCTTCCGCAGGCCTATGCCTTGTAGCCTAGCAGTGCAATGATTATGTTAGCGCAGAATGTGTGGCTGGTGTGGGCAGGAGGTGGTGAGCAATGATTATGTGTGTGGTTGTTGTAGGCAGGAGGCTATTCTAGAGCTAGCAGTGTGATACTAGCGCAGTGTACATGTATATGGCTGGTGTGGGCACAGTTCTGTATGTAGATTTACTGTCTTGCCGGCCGTCGGCTAAGCCAGGCAGGCCATAGGAGTTATGTAGAATTATTATTTGTAACTCTTTTTGCGCCTTTTTGCACCTCCAATGGCGCAGCTCTTGACCCGTCATTTCCACTGGGCAGTCGCCTTGAAGTCACTTCCGATGCCGCAGGTCCTGACTTTTCCCTTCCAACACACCGCCTGGTCACGAGGGCGAGAAGGCACTGAAGGCACTTGGTTATGTAATCTTGTTACCTTTTTTGCGTTTCCTCTAGTGGTTTTATTGCACTTGTATCTTGATGTTATTTCTAACACCTTTCTATTTACAGTACTTAACTTCAGTTTCTTTGGTTGTATCCTTAGTTCCGATTTTTCCCACTGATGATAGGAACGAGAAAATCGATTCTGGGTTTTCAATAATATTTTTGTTATAAAATACACAGTAATACATGTCAAACAAGTAACGTAGTTGCGTGATGTCTGCGGCCTTCATCCTATTCATAGCTATATTAAAATTATTATCTCAACGTAGGTTATTATGATCATTATTATTATTTATACAAAGAGAAATACAAAGGAACTACAAGTTACGCTATACTGTCCACTAACACCACCAGTTACTAACTTGTGACAATCAGCTCATGCGATAACATTGCACGACACTGACCGACGGTACTGACGTTCTACATCTACCTGGCTAATAGCTCTAGCACATCTTGGATGCGCACTCCAACAGCCTTCCAGCTTGGAAGCGATCGTCGTGTGAAACTGCTGCTTGTTACCGCTGCTTATTGTCCATCTAAATAAGTCATAGTCGAAGTACAGTGCTGTTTTACTGAGACGTTCGGTTTTTCGTGAATCTTGTTCGCATAGCTTCCCCTTTTATTGATCTTCGCATCTTTTGAGCCACACAAGTTGTGTGGAATGTGGCTTTGCGTTCCTGAATCGTGGTTGGACCGTATTGTCCAATGGTCTTGCCAGTATCGTCATCGACATGCATGAATATCCGCCAACGTCCTTCACAGCTGAGACTTTCAGCTCGTGCTTATCTTGGTGGCGCTCACCTAAGTCCTTCCCCTCCTTATGTTACCTAAGTCCTTCCCCTCCTTATGTTATTTCTATAACTATTAAAGTTAGGCCAAACTAAAGAAGGTGTGTGGTTCGACTCACCCGACCGACCGTACAATTTCAGCCCGACCGTAACTTTTTTTCGGCGGGCTGTCGTGTGACTGACGTACGTGGACTGAACACGTCCACGTCTACGTGCTGTGCGGCGTGAGTCTGCGGACGCAGGCGCTAGGCGGCTCCTTTTGGACTTGACTTGTAGTTGTACTGCAGTGCAGTGCAGTGAGTGGTACGACTGCTGCCTTGTGCTGGTAGTAGAGTCTACTCGATACGCGTATACAGTGTATTTACATGTACTAAAAATATATATTAAAAAAAAAAATCCGCCCGCCCGCCCGTAAAAAAATGTCCATGTTAGTCGAACCACACACCTTCTTTAGTTTGGCCTTATAAGTTATAGAAATAACATTCCAAGTTGGAATGCTGTTGGAGTGCGCATCCTATACAGTCACCATGGTCACCTACCTGTGCCTATATAATTATTTGGCATAGTGCACAAATAATATTTGACCCCGCTTCCTATTTCACACCTTGGCGTAGACCCGGGTGCTCGAATCAGAAACGATTTGACAGGTGTGGAATTTCTCATCTGTAAATCTCAATAATGTCAGAATATACTTTTGGAGAGGCGATGGAACAGGGAAGAGAGTCTGGCTTGACCCACCCAGCAGGAATTCAGAACCTGGGTGCGCTACAACACAAGCTACAGTACGCAGTAAAATTGTCGTATTTCCTTCGGATTTTTTATTTGAAAATTGGGTGCTCGAATCAGAAACAGCGAACTCGTCAGATCGTCTCCGATTCAAGCACACGGGTCTACCATCGTCTACGCTTGGTGTGGCAGTTGAGGGCAGGGAGTAGCAACTTACTACTTCATTTTTGAGAGCAAGATGGTCAGTGGAGCCGCAGATTCAGCAGGTCTTTGGCAGCACCGTACAGGAGACCCATATCCTCGAATCAAGGACCCAGCAAAAAGTGGGTCGCGAGTATTTCAAAAACCGTTTACCGGGCAGCGCTGAAATTTGGCATACCGTTAGCGGGCCGTATGTTGATGGTATTTGTGAAAACTAAACGAAATCGGAACAAGTTTAGGTACAATTTCAGGGTGTTTCTGTTTTGGTACCCTGTGTCTCATTCGAGCACCCGGGTCTACGCACATGCACCTCGCATGCACCAGCGGTAACTGTTGCGTGCCGGCCTGTGCTGTTTACATGCCTACTCTGTTCCCTGTGTTCTCGACTTCTCCTTCTGTCTTCATCAAGTATTTTGGAGTGTGATGGTTGTGTTGGACTGAGAGAGTGTGCATGGGCATTTACCCTTAGTGCTGTTGCAGTAACGCAACACTTGGTGTCAGAACTGGTACCCCGAACCCTCGCCACCGGACCCGCTCGCCATGGCGAAATTTCAGCCCCCTGAAAGCTTCGACTTTTCCGCACCTGAGCCCCGCTGGAAAAGCCGATTCACACGCTTCCAGATTGCTACCAAACTCTCTTCCGAATCCGCAGATGTCCAAATCTCCACTCTCATCTACTCTCTGGGCCAACTGCGGATGATATCTTCCAGCGTGAGTTGTCCTTCGCCCAAGATTCCGACAAGGACGACTTCGATAAAGTGGTCGATGCTTTCGACAAGTATATTTGCACCTGCGGACAATGTTATCCACGAACGGACGCAGTTCGCTCGTCTCCGCCAGCTCCCCGGTGAGTCCGTAGCCACGTTCTCAAGCCGACTCCACTCTGTCGCGGCGAGATGCCGTTTCGACAAGCCGTCAGAACGGATCCGCGATCACCTCGTCGCCCACATGGCTGATTCTGAAGTGAGTAAGGCAATGCAGAAAAAGGACATAGGCTCCCTCACCCTCGCCGATGTACTCAAGGAGGCCAAGGCAGCTGAGACCCTCGAAATCCAGCCAGCCACTCAGCGCTCCGCAGCCACTCAGCCCTCCGTCGCAGCCGCTGTCGCTCGCGGACATCACAAACAATCTCGTGGAACTGGCAGACCGAAGAATGCTCCCGCTGCATCTCGCCAGTCCGCGCCTAGCTACTCACACGTGGCCCTCCAGCAACCTCTGCTCCGCGCGCTCCCTGCTCCGGCTGTGGCTCATCCAGTGGTCACTCGCGCCGCGAGTGTCCTGCTTGGTCCGTCGAGTGCCGTAAGTGCCAGCGTCGTAGTCACTTTGCCAAAGTGTGTCGTAGCTCTCGTCAAGTGGGCGCGAGCGAGATGTCTGACCATCGGGTGAGTGATTCTGCTAGTGCTAGTGCAAGTTGTTTTATGGGTAGTGCTTCATCCGAGTCACAGGAACCCAGTGTCTGTGTTTTGAGTTCAGTATCCATTCCTGACTCAACTGAGCCCTGGCTTGTTGAGCTCCCCATCAATGGCCAGTCGGTATTATTCAAGCTGGACTCTGGCGCAGACTGCGCACTCCTGTCACTGCCTTCCTACAATAGCCTCAGTCCTCAACCTAAGCTCACGCCAATCTCCACTAAGGTCACTGGACCTGACGGCCAACCTCTACCCATACACGGCGCATTTGTTGCTGCCAGCTCCTGGAAGGACCGCAACGTCACGTTCCGTGTTATTGTGGTCGATGGCCCCAGCAACCTCCTGAGCCGCAGTGTGTGCCAGGACCTGCACCTCCTGTCTTGCGATGTATCCGAGGCATCCGCAAGCCCTCCGTCCGCTCCCCCGGTCATTGGTCGCATGTCCGGTCCTGCAGCTACCATCGAGCTGCAAGACAATGCCCAACCATATCACTGCCAGACCGCACGACGAGTTCCCATCCACCTGCAAGCCAAGGTCAAGGCCGAACTTGACCGGATGGTCCAGATGGGAGTCATCTCTCCAGTCACGGATCCGACCGACTGGTGCGCGCCCATGGTGCCCATGCTCAAGAAGAATGGCTCCGTCCGCATCTGCGTGGATCTCAAACGCCTGAACCAGTCCGTGAAGCGTTCACACTTCACTCTGCCGACCATCGAAGACACACTGGGTAAGCTGTCCGGCGCCAAGGTCTTCTCGTCGCTTGACACGGCGTCTGGGTTCTGGCTAGTGCCACTTGCTGACGACAGTGCGTCACTCACTACCTTCATGACACCGTTTGGCCGGTTTCACTTCAACCGTCTACCCTTTGGTATCACCAGTGCGCCAGAGGTTTTCCAGCGTCGCCTACTGGAAATCGTTGGGCACATTCCCAACGTGGTCGTTTTCATGGATGACATCCTCGTGTTCGGTGCCACTCTAGCTGAGCACGATGCTGCCCTCATTGCTGTCCACGCAGCTCTCGCTTCTTCAGGCGTACTCCTCAACCCCGCCAAGAGTCGCCTCCGTATGAAGTCTCTGACGTTCCTGGGTCACCTCATCGGTGCTGACGGTGTCCGCCCAGACCCAGCCAAGGTGTCTGCCGTCCAAGCTCTGAAGTCACCGACCAACGTGCCTGAGTTACGCCGTGCTCTGGGCATGTTCACGTTCCTGTCGAAGTTTGTGCCAGGTATGGCCAATGTCAGTGCCCCGCTCCGTGCTCTCGTGAAGGCCGACACCGCCTGGCAGTGGGACACCCAGCAAGAAACTGCCTTCTGTCGCCTCAAGGAACTCGCTACTACTGCTCCCTGCTTGGCACTGTTCTCGCCCGACCAGCCCGTCCGTATTAGTGCTGATGCCAGTAGCTACAGACTGGGTGCTGTCCTCCTGCAGCCTGATGGCTCCCGCTGGCGCCCTGTTGCCTATGCGTCCCGCTCTCTATCTCCTACTGAGCAGCGCTATGCCCAGATTGAGAAAGAGTGTCTCGCCATCGTTTGGGCATGCGAGCATTTCCATCACTACATCTACGGCGGTCCTCAGTTCACAGTCGAGACTGACCACAAGCCTCTCATGCCTCTCATCAACTCCGCCGATCTCGCCCGCTCTCCATTGCGATGCCAGAGACTCCTGATGCGGCTGATGAGGTGCAACCCAACCGCTATCCACGTGCCTGGCAAATCACTCGTCATTGCTGACACCCTATCCCGTGCTCCGCAAGAGTCCTCGCCTACTAGTGATCTTGCTGATGAAGTACAGCTGCATGTGTCTGCCGTCACATCGCATTGCTCCACCGACCCGCTCTTGGTCGACTTTCGGAACGCGACCAACGTTGATGCCGACATGTGTCGCCTCCGTGCCCTCATCCTCAAGGGGTGGCCAGCCAAGCCCACCTCGGTCCCCGCTAGCCTCCGCCCGTACTTTGCTGTTCGCGATGAGCTCTCAACTGCTGATGGTCTCATATTCCGTGGCCAACGTGTCATCATCCCTGCATCCCAGCGCAACGCCGCCCTTGCCAGTGCTCACGAGGGTCACCAAGGCGTTGGTAAGTGTCGTGCTCATGCGCGTGCTGTGATGTGGTGGCCTGGTATGTCTACGGACATTGAGTCGTATGTGATGTCTTGTGCCACCTGTGCCAAGGCCCGTCCTAACCCAGCCGAGCCGCTCATCTCGTCCGAGTTCCCACCTCTTCCATGGTCAAAGATCGCGTGTGATCTGTGTGCAGCCAAAGGATCCACTTACCTAGTTGTTGTCGACTATTTCTCGCGCTACATCGAAGTCAAACAACTTACCACTACTACGTCTGCCGCTGTGATCGCCTCTCTCCACTCCGTGTTTTCTACCCATGGTATTCCACACACGCTAGTCTCGGACAACGGTCCACAATTTGCTAGTGCCAGCTTCCGTGCATTTGCTGCCGAGCTTGGGTTTGCCCATCGCACATCAAGTCCTCGCTTCGCCCAAAGCAACGGCGCTGCAGAACGTGCCGTTCAGACAGCCAAGCTGCTCATCCTCAAGAACGATTACTTGCCTTCCACTCTCTTGGCCTACCGGTCTACGCCATTGGCCAACGGTTATTCACCGTCACAGCTGTTGTTTGGCCGCCAAATCCGCTCCAGGCTACCAGGACCCCTCCCTGCTCCAGCCTGGCCCGATTTGACCGCCCTTGCCGACAAGGAAGCATCTTCCAGGTCTCGGCAGGCTGATCGCTACAATGAACGCCACCGTGCTCGACTGCTGCCTGTTCTCGCCCCTGGTGCTCCTGTGTATGTCTCCGATATGGACAAAACTGGACACGTCCAGAACCGCCTGTCCGAACGTTCCTACACGATCAACCTCACTCCTGGGTCATCTGTCCACCGAAATCGTCGCCACGTGCGTGCGTTGCCATCCACGTCAGCCAAACGCCCTGATCCCTCCCGCTCACCCTCCTCCATTGAGCCCATGTATGAGGTTGAGTATGGTGTTCCTGCTCCTGTGCATGTTGCCCTGCAACCACCAGCGAACTCTACTCTGCCGCCTCTTCTGCCTGTGCCGCAGTCTCCTCGAGTTGCTAAGCCTCTGCCACCCGGTCGCAGACCACCATCCAGCCGTGTTCGCCATGCGCCGCAACGCTATGCTGCCAATACCTGAACACAGTAACACTGTTTACTCCATGTGTTCCAGTTGAACTATGACTGTGTTCTTTTCATGTTTGTTTTTTTCTCTATCATTCTGAGTAATGCTCACGTTGGTACCCGCTCCAGAACTGCTATCGTTCCTTTTCCTCTCTCCTTTGCTCCACACTTTCTCGTGTCCCTCCGTTCGCATTTTTTCGGGGGGAGATGTACAGTCACCTGCCTGTGCCTATATATTTGGCATAGTGCATCCATATTGTAATTATTTTGACCCCGCTTCCTATTTCACACCTTGGCGTACGCACATGCACCTCGCATGCACCAGCAGTAACTGTTGCGTGCCTGTGCTGTTTACATGCCTACTCTGTTCCCTATGTTCTCGACTTCTCCTTCTGTCTTCATCAAGTATAGTTTGTAATTCCTACCGGAGTGTGATGGTTGTGTTGGACTGAGAGAGTGTGCATGGGCATTTACCCTTAGTGCTGTTGCAGTAACGCAACACATCCAAGATGTGCTAGAGCTGTTAGTCAGTTAGTTGTAGAACGTCAGTACCGTCGGTCAGTGTCGTGCAATGTTATCACATGAGCTGATTGTCACAAGTTAGTAACTGGTGGTGTTAGTGGACAAAATAGCGTAAGTTGTAGTTCCTTGGTCCTTTCTCTTTTTATAAATTAAACCTTGGCTCTCCATCTGAGTCCATTATTATTCTCAATAGCCTATCCTCTCGCCATTATTTTTAATATGTCATTTCGAACTGGTACATTCCCACAGGATTGGAAATCCGCCATCGTGACACCGCTTTACAAGAATAAAGGCTCCCGTGCTTGCCCGGCAAACTACCGCCCCATCTCTCTGCTGCGCACAGTTTCCAAACTTTGTGAGCGTATTGTATTCGATTCCCTCTACCTACACATCGCTCCGGCTCTCTCACCAGCTCAGTCGGGATTCTGCCGTGGTGACTCAACTCAATACCAGGTGACTCGACTTGTCCAAGACATAGCAACAAAGAGGAACTGTGGGGAGCAATTGGGAATGGTGTTTTTCGACTTGGCTAAGGCATTCGACACCGTTTGGCATCGTGGCTTACTTGCCAAGTTGGAGGTCACCTTCCGGGTGGAGGATGCTGCCTTGCGTTGGATATACTCGTATCTGTCTGCTCGTTCTCAGGCTGTTCGCTTGTCCTATTTCTTGTCTGATCCCCTCCCTGTAACGTCTGGAGTGCCCCAAGGTTCCATTCTGGGTCCTTTGTTATTCTTGCTTTACGTTAATGACCTACCTTCAGTTGTCCCCGATGTTAGTTTGTATGCGGATGACACTGGCCTTATCTGTTCTGATTCCTCCCCTGCACAATTACTCCTTACCATGCAGCATCGCATCAACAGCACTGTCATGTGGATGCAAACGTGGAAACTCTAGCCCAATTTAGACAAGACAGAAGCCATGTATATTTCTTCATCCCCTCCTGATCAACCATTATACTTCCCTGACTCGACTATGCCTATCCGTGTTGTTACTCAGCACGAACATCTAGGTGTGATGTTTGACTGCAAACTCTCTTGGGCTGCACATGTCAACTGTGTATGCAAGCGAACCAGTTCAGTATTAGGGGTACTACAACCACATTGCACTCATTTGCCCCTCCAGTGTAAACTATTATTTTATCAGTGCTATATTCTCCCTATATTCGACTATTGCGATACCACTTGGTGTGGCCTTTCTGACACAACTCTGAACCAATTAGAAGTCCACCATAGATTTATACTTAAAATTCTTTACAACAAGGATCGATGTTTTCCTTCGGATGCCCTTTATCGACTTGCACACACTTCTCCTCTCTCCGTTCGTCATAAGCACCATCTCTGTACACTGGTTCATAAAATATTTCTTCATATTAAAAACCCCTTCACACATGATGAAGTACAATTGGTTTTCGACAAGCTAGGCCTTGACGGATTATGCTAATATTTTCGTGAAATTATGCTTTTCGCATTGCTGAAAAAATTGCAGAATTATGCTATTTTTATGCTAAAAGTTATCATATTATGCCGCATTATGCTCACATATGCTGCTGATGTATATGATGGTTCTGTTCAAAATACCAGGGGAATTGTTTTGTAGAGGGCGTTGTACTGTAGTAGCAAAAGTTCAACGGGGTCACCGCATCGTCCGACCTAGCTACGACCGTCACTGATTGTAGTGGACTGGACATGTTATCAAGGGAGTCGTAAACCTACGACTTCCTGGTGCATCTACTTGTACTTGTACTTGTAGAACTTGTACAATTGTATGGAATTTGATGCGAACAGGCGGATTATTCCAATTTATGCGATTCATATGCAATTTGCCTCGAATTATGCGATTATTCGATTTTGGTAGAAATTATGCGAAAAATTATGCTAGCATAATCCGTCAAGGCCTACGACAAGCTCAACCCGTAACGCGCTCATCCTGCCTCTTGTTAAGTCAGCCCAGTATCTAAAGTCCCCTTTGTTTTACGGCTACTCTCATTGGTTATCATTACCATACGGTCTGAAAACTTGTTCTTCTATTGGTCAGTTTAAAGATCTACTATCACAACTGAACTAGACGCAATAATTATCATCGAAGAACATTCTCGAAAACCTGGGTGATGCACGAATTTTGATAGTGCTCACTTGCGTTAATCGTTTTTCTTTGTTATTTTCCATTCATGTTCTGCTTTAATTCATATTTGCTTTGCTTTCTTAGCTTACTATTGCCGTGGCTGGCTGAACGCCCTTGTCTCAGGGGATTCTGTCCCTGCATTAGCTATGCTTGTCACATGCTATGAGATTGTGTCTAATAATAATAATAATAATAATAACGAAACAGCATGCTGTCCGCAGATTGAGTATTTCGCTCCTGCTCTTGTAGCAGTTGAGCACTCTTGCGTGGGGTAGTGCCTTTGCTGTTTGCGTTATGCAGAGCTCACTGACTTGTCAGTTTGAGCACTCTGGCAAGGTACGTTCGGGCCTGATTGGAAATTTTTATTTCCATTGCTATCAGGTTCGGCCTCATTTTCTCTGTGCTGCGCTGATGAGTTCAAAAAGAACGAAACAGCATGCTGTCCGCAGATTGAGTAATAATAATAATTATTATTATAATGGCACCTTACCACACTATATCAAGAACATTCATTGAGTTTTTGTAATCATTGCTGTCTGATGATCGCCATAGGCGTGAAACTCGGAGTCACAGCCAACACAAGCTTCGTATTCTATTCCTTTTGTATGAAGCTCTGCACCCCGGTGCATTGAGCACTCTTTCGAGGACCACACCCAACCTTCCGTGTGTAATTTGTAGTTCCGGTGGTCTATCTCCATGGAAGGAATAATCATGGGTGGATCAAATGAAGTGCGATGCCCAAGACTCAAGAATAGATGCATGTCACCTATGTCAGACAGCGCTTGACAAAACCCAAACCACATAAAACTGGTCGGTAAAGACAGGGACAGCTCAACACAAAGCTGCATGATCACTACCATAAGAGGTACGAACATGATAATTCTAATGTTATCGCATGGTCGCGAGTTATTGACTGAGGACTAGGGACCGGCGGATTCTGCTCGAAAAGCAGGGAAATTGGCAGAACCATACAAACCTTATGGCAGGCAATTCCTCGAATTCTGCTCCATTATTTTTATCCACATACCAAACATGCATGAAACTTACCAGAAAAAGTACCGAATTCTGGCAATTTTTCTGCCGGCAGAATCCGCCGGACCCTACTGAGTACGAGGTCAACATAGGAAAAAAATCCGGGTAAAAGATAGAGGTGAAGCCGTTGTATTCTACGAGGTTCTATTTCTTATTTTAAAAGTACGAAGACAGCGAGGTTCGCCCCCTTGTCGGACATTTTGGTTCAACCATTGTGAGACTTACCATCTCAGCCTCGCCGTTAGGAGCTGCATCTGCCACCCAGGTATCACAGGCATAGTGGTGGCCTGGCACATGCACAACTTCCTAAGCTGGTTGTGTTTCTCAATACAATTGAATTGCATAGCCGGTGGTAACGCGGAAGTGAGAACTTTACTTTTTTTTAACAAAGTCACTACTAGATTGTTGTCAAGACAACGCAAAACATGTCTTTTGATCCCTAAAAAGGAGTCAAATACAAACAGTCCATACAGCCCTAGCATGAGGAGTGAAATATGAAGAAGTGTGACTGCTTAGGTATTAGTCAATGGGAGTCAATACTAAAAGAGTGATAATATTCCATGAGGCCCGCAGCAACCATGCGATAACAAATTTCTTACATTGCTCACAGAGCAGACCTTTGGGCTGTTGCTGAAACTTGCCAAAAATGCGAACACATTATGACCACAATGTATATTGACGTGATAATTATTTTTTTCAAACTTTTATTGTATGTATGGGTACCGGGAAACAGATGCAGTCTGTATTGTGGTTGTGCAACAGGTGTGTGGGACACAGGCATATGGATCTGCTGCATGATCAGCCTCCTTCTCCCCTCTAGGCTCTACTTGTGAGTGAATTAATGAATAAGCGAGTTTGTAAGAGGCAGCGTCGTGTGATTATCACAATGCTAGTTGTTTGCGAGCAGAGTTGTGTGTCGACGTACAATTGTACATGTATGCGGTTTGTGACTCCCTACTCGTCGTCGTCCCCTCCCCTCCCCCGCACGCTCCACATCCTCCATCGTCCCCGGGCCCCCGTACTCTCCCCCACCCCACCCCACCCCGTATTCTTCCCCATCTCCTATACCTCTGTGTCCTTCTCCCTCAACGCCTCTCATGAATATGTTCATCTAGACTACAGAAGAACCTTAGCTACGGGTCACAGTTCCTATCAATAGACGGCGTGCAGAGCTTTGTACAAACGAAAACTTCATCCGTTGGAAAAGAAGTGAATTTAAAACGTCTCTACTTACTAGTTTCATGCTGGAAAGCAATCCTGAGGAGACATTTCATCTAGACTACTACTGCATCTCTGAGATGGGTCATGTCCTCCCACCAGAGACTGACCACAGAAGTCAGCCAACCCTTGCGCTAGCTTTAGCTGCGCACAAAAATGATCAGATGTGGCGGGCAGGAGCACAAATTAAGTTCACAGGGGGAGCACGCATCCGGGTAAGTGCACCTCGAAGGAGTCAATGGCCTAAGCTAATGGCTACGGCGAAGGCAGAGGTGCATATTTTTGATATAATTATTTTTCATGCATGTATTATATTTTGCAAGGATTCTCCAGAGGCAAATGGATGCCTATCAAAGGGAGTTTACTGGGGAAAGGAAGTAAAGGTGGCTGCTATGTGAGAGGGGAGAAGTGACATGAAAAGGTGAAAAAGTAAAAATAATACAAACAGGAACACATTTGCCTGGAAAGGTTTGAGGATCTTGAGGTATACTGCGATCTGGCGGTTCACACTGCTTAATTAAGTCAAACGTACAAACGAGTCACAATCATAGTAACCGTGGCAACTGATTTTTTTACATCGTTGTATAGAAAAGAAAAAAGGACCAAGGAACTACAAGCAACAAGAAGGTCCACCCGAGTCCATTTTTATATATTTTTGTTTTTATTGTTTTTATTGACATGACACAATGTCATAGTATTGATAGCAGCAGCAGCAATAGGAATATACCAGCTTGGAGAACAAGCATTGCTGGAGCACACACGCACTGCACCAAACACTGGACTAAACATGGCACAAAACACAGACAAAACATGGGGCAAAACACTGGACAAAATACATGTAGAAGGCAAGATGGTCGACAGTTCAACGAGCTCATCTTGTTCATACCATCGACATTCACATCATGTCCGCGCATCTGCAGCCAGCAGCCCAGATATTCTTACTCAGTCTGAGGCACAGCAGCCTATCGGTGAGACCGATTCACGATACGGCAGCAGGCACACTGTCATCTCACGTACATTTTACCTAATGTCATTTCTATTTGAATATTTATAGTCCCGCTCCCTTTGCACCGCCGGAACTTTCATTGTCGTGGTCGTCCTCGACATGATTAGGACCGCCAGAGGCAGAGCTATTTCCCTGATCAACCCCGCCAGAGGCAGAGCTAATTCCCTGATCAACCCCGCCTGAGGCAGAGCTAATTCCCTGGGTCTTGGCCTTCTCTTCCTTACACTGCTACAAAAACTCAGCCAACGGGTCTTCGTTTTCACCTGGAGAGAGAGAGAGAGTGAGAGAGAGAGAGAGAGAAAGAGAGAGAACAATGAGATGAGCTCCAGTCTCTCCGGAGGCGTGGGCTCGAATCCTACCGCTGCCACCAGTGTTCCCGGCTAAACGAAGTCCCCTCACACTTCCAGAACACAAGGGTTTTGTAGAATAATTATATGGACGAAGTATTTATACAAGAGAGTAGACCATGGTCGCCCAGAGTAAGAAGGAGAACAGA